GACTCGAGCATGGAGAAATCAATGATTTTTGTTTTGGGGAACTTTTTTGTGTTCTTGGATTGATCTGAAATTTGCCAGAGATTGAGTTGAAATTGGGCGATGATCTCTTAGATAATGCTCACCAACTCTGTTGTGATGGCCTGTGCAAAATTTGGGAGCGGTTCCTTTTGATTTGATCGAGTTCTTGCCAATTTTGTGACCGTCCCTTTTCTGTTCGACCGCTCGAGCTCCTTGTTAGCATCCCACTGGTAGAACACAACCACGGAATGGACTAACACGATCTCAGGTAACAGATACGGTAAGAGATGGAGTTCAGGGAAGTAGCAAGCAGGGGGAATCGAAGAGGAAGAGGAGCAAGGGGCTGGTACAGAGGAAGAGGGAGTTGGGGGAAGAGGAATAGTAACTAGGAGAAGAGAGGATGAGTTGTATTCTGAATATTCGATGCCCTGCAGAAGGTACTCAAGCGAGGCCGAGGCGGACGAGGAGAGACATGCTGCGGTCGGCGAAGTTGAGGCGGGCGCAGAGGAGCACGCCGTGGTCCGTGAAGCCGAGGCAGGCGCGGGTGAGCACGCCGTGGTCGATGAAGTCGAGGCGGACAAGGCCGAGGTAGGTGCAGAGGAACACGCTGCGGTTCGCAGCACCCGGTGGGCACGAGGAGGAGCACGCCACGGTCGGCGGAGCCGAGGTGGAGGCGAAGGGTACGCCGCCATGGTCGCGAAGGGACCGCGACACGCCGTGGTCGACGCAGCAAAAGTGGGCGCGAGAGGAGCACGCCGTGGTTGGCGCCGGTGAGGCGCGCCGTGGTTAGCGCGAGGAGCGCGCCGTGGTTGGCGCAATGAGGCGACGCCGGGCACGCCATGGTCGGAAGCGAGGCGCGCGCGAGGAGCACGCCGTGGTTGGCGCAATGCGGCGCGCGGGTACGCCATGGTCGGCGAACCCGAGGCCGGGCGCGGAGGGGCACGCCGCAATGGAGAAGCGGAGAACCAATGACGACGCGACGGCGCAGCAGCTCCGCTTCCTCGCGGACGTAAACGCGGCCGTTGGTGCCCACGGAAACCCACGAGATCGAGACGCGCGCGCTCTTCATGGCCGTCGCGGACGCGGAGGGAGGCATGGGCACGGGCATGTCCCAGGCGGAGGAGCTGGTGAAGAAGGCCGCTGAGGCGGGGATGCCCTCGATGACCATGGTGCTGCACTCGACGAGCTTCTGGCCGGCGTTGAGCGGCGCGTGGGGGTCGTTGGAGGTGAGGCCGCTCTCGACACGGATCTGGTCGGAGGCAATGGAGTCGTCGTGGTACGGGGTGGACAGCTGAACCGTCGACGACGACGGCGTGGTAGCGATGGCGGTGGAAGCTGGCTCGTTTAAGGACTGTCGGAGCCCGTCAAACTAAGACTCCAACTCCTTGCACATCGCGCGAATCTCGGCCAGGAGCAACTGGTAGTCGAGAGGACCCATGGAGTAGTGGTGGTGGATTTCGTGGTGCTGCAGGATTTGGCTCCGAGTACCAATTTGTTAGCAACCCACTGGTAGAACATAACCACGGAATGGACTAACACAATCTCAAGTAACAGATACAGTAAGAGATGGAGTTCAGGGAAGTAGCAAGCAGGGGGAATCGGAGAGGAAGAGGAGCAGGGGGCCGGTACAGAGGAAGAGGGAGTTGGGGGAAGAGGAATGGTAACCAGGAGAAGAGAGGATGAATTGAATTATGAATATTGGATGCCCTGCGGAAGGTACTCCTGGTTCCTTTTGTAGCTGATGCTCCGGACAGCCTACGTGTGGGCCCACCTGGCAGCGTCCCTGACGCTCCTGTGTCGTGCTGTTCAGGTGCTCGTGCTCTCTTCTGTTCGTCGGTCTCGAGCTCCAGTTGGGAGCACCGGTGTGAGCACCGTTGGCCACCGATGCGGTCAGGCTCAACGCCAAGCAATCCCGTTTCTCCGGTCTCCGAGCGCGTGTAGACCCGCGCCCCAGCCCTGTTTGGAGTCGCTCGGTTCCGTACGCTCGTTCGCTCCTTCTCTTCACGGTTCGGTGCTGCGCAGACCCAGCCCGACCAGCATAGCTGCGCTCTGCAGTCTCGGCCCCGTGACTCTCCTTGCGCGGCGCTGCAAGCGCGTCAGGCACCGGCTGTCGGCGTTCGTCGGTCTCCAGCAGTTCTGTGTCCGCTTTCTGTCTGTGCGTGATTTTCTGGTTTCGTGCTAGCAGCGTTCGCTGCTCCTCCAGCAGAGGCGCTCCCGTTTGGGCAGCAGGCGCAGCACCGGTGCTAACCGGTGGTAAGTGACCGGTGATTTTTGAGCCAAGTGCAGCAGCTCGTTCTTCCTTGTTTTTATTGGTCTATGGCTTAGTTTTTTTTTTTAGAACCACAACCTTTTATATATAACGTTAAAGCACCATACAACAGTGTCGAAATAGAATTCCCATATTACCGAGCACATATAAGAAAGAGCTACTGATGATCAGATTCTGAAGACATAAGTGATGCTTCCATCTAAGGCGTGGGGGCCGTCGGGGGCCACAGGGCCCACGAGAAGTGGTCACGACAGAAACATCGAGGGTCATCGTTCTTGTATTGTCTATGGCTTAGTTGTTGCATCCGTGAAATACTAAAGCAATCATTGAATAATCTTTGTAGTATTATATTACTTCTTGTCACTTGATGGTATTCACGGTTGTGAGTAACTCATTTTCTCTCTGTTTTGATCTCGGGGTTTGCAGACCAGCGTCCGAGCATTCTTTCTCCCTGTCGCAGCCAGTGCTAGAGCCACAGTGCATGTGCAGTTCCTACCTACGGTTGCTTTCTCTCTCTCCCAGAAATTCCGGTCCGAGCTCATGGAATTTCCAGCCTAGCTAGCTGTTTAGTCCGTATCTCTTTCGTTTGAGCTTCGTTTCTGGTTATGTCTGTTTCGTGGAGTCTCACTCTAATCCTAGCGAATATTCATCCACTCATTTGGATCGTGGACATCACGGTGTCTTGTTTTGCGTGTTTGACGGTGATTTTGGGACAACGGCCAAATATTTCGAAATAAATTTACGGCTTCCATTCACCCACCTCTAGTCGTCGTTTTCAGTCCTTCAATAGATGTAAAATATTGTTTTTCTTGGGTCCATGGTTTCGAATAAAAAGAATGTTACAGTAGTTCTTAAGTGGTTCTCAAATCAGACGAAGTGCCGCTGAAGGGCTAATCTCCCTGCCGTGAGCGGAAAGAAAAATAAAGAACAAAAGATTATTGTGCGCGCACAAGGACAACTGCAATCCTGTCATATGAATTATGATTATACTTAAGCCATATTTGGCTCTCACGGTCCAATGTCCAGTTATTTTAACTTTCGAGACTCTAAACAGGTGAATCGAAGAAGCGACAAGTGATAAATTGACAAAGTAGCATCTGGCAGAGCCTTTCCAGAATATGTGTCCTTGATCCATTCTTAATTAAAGCCCCCCGAAGTACAGAGACTTAGCTAAAACCACCTAGCTTGCGATTAGTATACAACTCAAATTGCATTGTGTCAACTAATAATAATAAGCTGCAAGTCTATGGTTCCATGCATGATTTCGAGCAGGTAGCTGCACCGTAGCGTTGAATGTTCACATCTTGTTCTTTCTAATACTAGTAAGCTGGATGTCTATGGTTGGATAAGAATCTATCGGCCTGTTCGCTGGTTGATTTCTGGACTGATAAGTCCGGCTGATGCTGGTTTGTTATGAGAGAAAAATACTGTTGGCTGGCTGATAAGCCCTGACTGAAATCAACAAGCGAACGGACTGTATGTGAGCAACTTGTGCCTCAATTATGGCCATCGCTTGCATTGGAAAAAGGCAGATAATAATATAATACGTGTGTCTTTGGTCCCGAAAATAAAGAAAACGGCTTTATAAAGTACTCCATAAATAAAAAAGAAAAAAAAATATTTAGAGTCATTGACTGATATACTGACTTGGGCAAAATATAATGGCTCGTAGCTGGCAAAAACAAATGGAAGAAATATATATAGCTGAACAAACCCGGCCCACACACGCAAGTTGGCGCACAACTGCAGGGAAAGGGATGGACCCACACCCACCAGCTGAGCTAAGCTAGGTTAGGAAGATGGAGGCGACGCGAGAGGTGACAGCGGGCCGCATACGTTAAACTCTGAACAAGTCCTTGCATAATAACCTGATGATAAAGTCGTTGAGGTAATTAAGGTCCAATTTGTGCCCAAAACAATGCCCTGATGAATCATTCAAACCACCGTTGCATGACGACTGCACCTTTCTTTTTTCCTGTGATGTGAAGATCCCATGTGCACAAGCACATATCCTTCTCTCCAACGCTTGGGAAACTACGAGTACATTTACATATCTGGACCTGGAACTTATTATAAAAAGGAAATACGAAAAAAATCCTCAAAGGCGAAGCAACATTGACTTGGGCACTCAGGCGCAACTACGTGCACAAGCAACTAACCAACGCAACCGAGGGGAGAAAAAACGAACACGTCATGCATGTTATAGTTACACGCAGATGAATTGATCACGTCCAAAAAAAAGAAAAAAAGCGATCAAGTCTTGCAGAAAGATGGCAGGCCGCAGGTGCAGCGTTCATGCACCCATGCAGACGAGACAGTTTCCGGTCGCCTTCCGATCAGGTATTATTGAGTTATAGTTTTCCTTTAAAAAATATTATCAGTTCAGGGCGGCCGGTCAACGAGACCGCTGGTACGGTTGGTGGGGCCGGTGCGCCAAGTCGCGACGCGGATTGGGATTGGACCAGCCGCCCACTTGCCGGGACGATCCGGCAGCTCGGCAGCAGCTCGTAGTATATATAACAGCACCCCGGCTCGCTCATCCCCGGCAACCAACGAACGGCGGCGAGCAGGCGAACCCAAACACAACCGCAGCGAGGCACACAGAGCTAGCTATAACAGGGGCTAGTAGAGGAGCCAAGAAACCGAGGAGTCGATAGATCGATAGCACTGTCGATCGTGCGAGCGCAGCGATCGGAGAAGCCAGCTCGACGACATGTATCCGTCCAAGCCTAGCGAGCTGGCCGGGGCGGCGCCGGTGACCGGCATCCCCGTCGGCGGCCCAGCCGCCGCCTCCCAGTGGTCCTCCGGCCTCTTCGACTGCTTCGACGACTGCGGCCTCTGTAAGCAAAGCATCATCATCAACCGCATATGCATGCACACGCACCATCACGTTTAGCAGCGCGCCATGGCACAGGCCGACAGGCGCACAGCAGCTAGCTAGCTAGCTAACCGTTGTTCGTTCGTTGTCGTTGACATATGCATGACACTTGACAGGCTGCCTGACGTGCTGGTGCCCGTGCATCACGTTCGGTCGCGTCGCGGAGATCGTGGACCGTGGCGCGACGTCGTGCGGCACGGCGGGGGCGCTCTACGCGCTGCTGGCCTACTTCACGGGCTGCCAGTGGATCTACTCCTGCACGTACCGCGGCAAGATGCGCGCCCAGTTCGGCCTCCCGGACACGCCCTGCTGCGACTGCTGCGTCCACTTCTGCTGCGAGACGTGCGCGCTCTGCCAGCAGTACAAGGAGCTCAAGGCCCGCGGATTCGACCCCGTCATCGGCTGGGACCTCAACGCCGCCCAGAGGGGCGCCGCCGCCGCCATGTACCCGCCGCCGGCACAGGGGATGGGACGCTGAGCTACCCACCCAACCATTTCCCGACCGGCCGCCGCCGCTCCTTGCATGCATGCATGGTAAATTATTACGTGTACGACTGCACTTGTTCTTTGTTTGTGGTGACGTGCGTGGATTGTGATCGATCATCGATGTGGTGATGTGTGTGCGTGCGTATATGTTTCTTTGAGACATGAGGAAATGTGCATGTAAATTTCTACCAACTCCATCAGTACGGAGTGTACAGTTGATTTTTGGTTTCGTTTACTGTATTTCTTGGCTCCATGCATCATGCGTGGTTGCCAGTAAAATAAAAAGAATGGGAATTATTTCTTTTTTTCTTTTTTTTATTATGGTGACGACTTATTTGATTGTGATGTGGTAAGGTCAGGATTGGTACGATAAAGAATGTTTATGTGTGTTTCTTTCGTTCAGACGATCGAGAGAAAATGCCATGTCAAGATCAGTACCGGGCCGTACGTTTGATTTTTGTATTGCATTTCTTGTGTCCGTTTCGAATAAAAAAGAATGGAAATATCATTTGCAGAGACGCAACATTATTAATTCGGGTCATAACCGATTTCCAAACTAACTAACTTTGCTCCAGTTATTGGCCTGCAAAGCCATATACTCTGCTGCTATAAACAAGCCATATCCTCATTTCAACTATCATTTTCTAAATGTCATTTTCTGCACTTAATAGTCTCACTACTTTTGTATTTGCATTTAATTAATCAGCAAATAAGGTGATGTAGAAATCAATTAACACATGCTATAGATCATGACTAGTGAAAATGGTAAGAGCAACATATACATACTCTATCCTGTTTGGCACGGCTCCGGCGGCAACTTGTGTGGAAGAGCCGAAAGAAGTCTACCAAACACTTTAGGAGAAGTCGTTTTTTTGATAGACAATAGAGAAGCCAGAACCGTTTTTAGACCAGGAACCAGATCCCTAAAAAGTGGCTCCTCCTCGAGAAACACTCGAGGAAAAACCCTGTCAAACAGGCTCTCATGATCTGGTGCCTCACACACGACATGAAGAGAACCAAATAACATTCTGCTGCAGCTGATAATTTTTTAGCATAAATGGCAGGTGCTCTGCCTTTGCATTATATTAGGAGAAAATAACGCTCCGCTGCAGCTGATATTTACATTTAATATAAAATATTTTTTTCGGCTAAGAGCTGGTGGCAACATTGATGATTTTCAACGGGAGCCAATGCACTAACTATGACACACAGCTACTGATACTAGCATTAATCCTCTACTTGACAAGTCAAAACACTTGTAATATATATGAAATGCACACACAATCTCTCATGATGTCACTACTCATTGGACAGACATACCCGAAGTTGAAAGCCATTGGGTTCCTAATCTCGTCTAAGCATTGAATTAGTACATTTTAGGGGGTGTTTAGATTGGGCTGCTAAAGTTTAGTTGGCTAATTTTAGTCCTTTTCATTCACTTTTTACCTAAACGCTAATTTTAGTCATTTTCATTCACTTATGTAAACACTATAACTAAATGGGACTAAAAGGAAATTTAGCCAATTAGTCACTAAGGTGTTGCTAAATGGGATTAAAGCCCAGGCTGCCTCACCTTTTAGTTACTTTGGATTTAAACATCCTGGCTAAAAGGGACTAAAAGGCTCTTTTAGTCCACTAAACTAAACATAGGTGACTAAAGTTTAGCAACTGGTTTAGTTATCTAAATTTTAGTAGCTTCAATCTAAATAGGGCCTTAAAGGGAAGGTAGAAGTGACGTTCGATGCCATCTATTAACTTTGACGATGCCATTTTTCACTATTCATACACGACCTTTGTATCCGTCTTCCTAATTCTCATATAATCCTTTTTTTTGTCATCATACATACGTTGCTGCTCTACCTCTTCCAGCCAAACTTTTGTCTAATGCCAAGCCTCAGCACAAAACTCTAACCCAACTTGAGGCTATGGTCTTAATAAGCTACGATTTATTTTGGTTTGTTTGGTTTGAGCCCAAGTCAGACATCCAATTTTACCTAGGGTTCAGATTGCTCTACCTGGCTAGAAGTTGTGTGACAGGCTTCCAACCAAACAATCCTTTGTGCTTTGCAGCAAGCAAGGTCCGATTTGGTTCCCTCATAAGTGGAGCTGCTTGGCCCAGACAGCGCTCCCAGGCGTCCGATTTTGGTCGCCTGAGCCAGGATCACCTGCCTGACAGGCATGTGTCTGCGAGGCCACGAACCAAACAAGCCCCGAGTCTTCTTTTCTCGGTCACAGATTAAAACTTTTTCCACTAATATTCGCCACTATATAACCCATTTTACGTGGCTAGCGTAACTGAGCCACTGGTATGTACAAATGCATTTACATTGGCAGTTGGTACAGGGATAGCGCAAGTGAAGATATGTTTGTACTAGCGTTTCTTAAAAAACACAAGTAAAAACTCACCACATATTGTTAGTCTTTCACACTAGCAGTTTAAACTATTGCCAATCTACTGCTAGTAGAAACTGTTTGTGTACTGGTCCCAACCGGAAGCTGCGGTGATAAGCAATGATTGTTGTGCTTTATATAGGAAGTGTTCCTTCGTCGGTCACAAAGCTATTATACGGTCCGGTAATCATCGTCACTGTATAACTCATTTTGAAAAATGGGAAATTGAGAAGGGGGGGGGGGGGCGTGTTTAGCAAACCAACTCGATTGACTAACAGATAACTCAAATCAAGTAGTAGGGATACAAGACCTCAGGGAGAGGTCTGGAATCAAGGGATGGAGAGGAAGAGGCTTGAGGAAGAAGAATAGTAACTAGTAAGAGTAAAAGGTAATCTGATAATTTGTTCCATATCATGCTACTCTTGTCTTGTGCCTTTTGTACACCGGCGCCCAGCCACCGAGCAGCCTTGGCCCACCGTCCATAAGGCCCAGCAACACATGCTTCCTGACATTCTCCCCTCCTTAAAAATCGGCTTACCCCTAAGCCGATGTCATGGACTGATAATGATTGACTGTATCTCTCAACTAGAATGATCCTCCGCTGAATTCTGAGCTGAGAAGCAACCACCATTTGGCAATCGTAGCAGTGAAGATTGACACTCCATTCCAGCAGTGCTTCTTGGCCAGGCCTAGAAGTTGGGACAACAGAAGAAGTGCAGGCCAACCAGTTGTGTGACTGTTCACCAGCGCACACCGAAAGCAGCCTCCTGGATCCCAAAGCATGTGTACTAGGTGTATAGCAAGGAACAGCGTAATGAACTGAGCAGTTGCAGGATTGCCAGCATTGTAATCTGCTTTATGCTGCAACAATAGCTTCAACATTTTAGCTTCAACCCTTGTTGCTGATAATGACAACCTTAGCTTCAGACTCGCTGCTGCGATCAGCTAGTGGCTCATTTGGTCCTCCAATTAGTTGTCGACCATGCTCTGTATTCCCAGGGTTAAACCTCTCAAGCAAAGAAGTCTGACAAACACCACCACGTTGTTGTTCTGTGTTCGCTTGAATTAGCAGAATAGAACTCATGGGCCAAATTGTAGGAGCAGTAATAGAACTCATTGTCGACACAGAAATTTCGCCCCGTGCCGAGGGCACACGAGCAAGCTGGAAGGGTCCGCTCAATGGAGCTGGAGATCCGCCTAGCTTCAGCGCAGGGATGGTCGATCCTACGCACTCCTCCTGAGATGTGCCGATCAATTTGACCCTGCAATTGACAAGGAGAGAAAGTTTATCAGTAATTTAGGGCGAAACGTGCCGGTGTTGCCAGACAGTCCCGAATGTGCGGCTCTGAGAGCCGATATGAAAGGAGATCGACTAAATAGTCGATTCCAGCATATTCATAAGAATAAATCAGTTAAAGCTCGTGGGGTTGTACAAGAAGAATCAGTTATCATTCAGGATGAATATCATTTTTTAGACTAACATTAGTCAATGGCAAAAGGATATCAACAATGATTAATTTATGCTAAGCCAATGACTGCAAGTAACCGAACCCCTTTTTATATAAAAGAAACAGCTCATCACCATTCAACCATTTAATAAAAATAAATCTAAGGAACATATTAGATCTCATATATTGCCATGACCAGTGGGGCATGAGGCAGAATCATGTAGGCCGTAGAAACAATAATAGACTCGACGACCCTAACTTATCACTAATATCAGTAGGGCATGAGACAGAATCATGCAGGTCGTAATACAATAATAAGATCATGGGGTTAACACATCTTTCAACATAATCCTACTTCAATGATCTCGTGATGTGAACTGTTCATGAAAGCGCTCGATATCGGCTAAAACAGCCGATTTAGGCATAGCGCACAGTTAAGGTCATGCCCTCTCAGGAACAGATCTACTAAATAATGATCCCCACTCCACTGTGCTAACAGTGGGGTGTGAGGCAGAATCACACAGGACGTGATAACAGGCCATGGAACAGTTTTCGCTAGCCAATAGATCTACTCAAGATCAGACATGCCTTAACCACACGCTATGCACGATCAAGATTGATATAAAACAGCAGATAAAACATAACTTATCGTTTAAAGTGCAGATTAGATCAGTTTAGATTAACAAACGATGGGTTAAACAAGATATAAGGCCGATCTAGATCAATCCCAATCGGACGAAGTGATATTGTTGTAATTAAATAAATAATGGAAATAATAAGCAATATCGGTAACTTAATGAATCTATCCGAAAGAACGTCACCCTTAGATAGAGCCGATAACTTGACCATAATCTAGTTCGAGCAGTGGAGGTCGATCGGATCGATGCAGCCTTACTTGAACTAGACAAGAATCGATAACTAACTTATACCAGAGTCGTAGTGGAGGTCGACCGGATCGATGCAGCCGTACGAACAGAGGTATAAGCCATGACGGTACTTACAGGCAAGCAGTGGAGGTCGATCGGATCGATACAGCCATACTTGCTGAAGAACTCGCCGAGATCTACTCTACTCTACTCCTACTCCTAAGGGGTGGCCAGAGCCGAAAAAAGTAACTTGTATTTGATTGATTGTCTGTTTTTTACAATAGCCG